CCTTGAGGATTGAAGGGCCAGTATCTAACAGGCTCAATGTTTGTCTTTTAATGACCCCGTAATCCCTTGCAGTGAGGTGGAGTCGGGGGTAACTGAATGGAGCTAATGGGCTACTGGCTGGATGCCCTTCCTGTTGCCAATGCAGAGTTTGCAGCTGATATTTGCTCACCCTGGCCAGAGAGAGAAATATCTGCCACTACCTAGGATCGAACTCACAGCCTCCTGATTGTGAGGCGAGAGCTCCACCTCTAGGCCACAGCACCACTCATAATGAGGCCTAAGAATGTCAACTGATATGAAACACATTTTCCTCCTTTTTGGAACATCACCTGCTGCCATTCCGTGAAAGGAGAGCTGAGACTCGGTGACTTAGTAACATCTCAATTGCTGCTATGTACTTTAGCTGAGACTATTCTTAAGAATGGTGTAGAACCGTGATGGGGAACCTATGGCACGTATGCCACAGGTGTCATGCGGAGCCATCTCTGCTGGCACGTGAGCCGTTGCCCTAGGTCAGCTCCACCGCGCATGTGCAAACACCTCCCGCCAACCAGCTGATTATTGGGGTTCTGCGGAGATGAGCGTGCATGCAGGGGGGGCAGGTGGGGGGATCACGCGCGCATGCACGGGGCCTCCCTGAAGCCTTTTAGTACCAAAAACAGAGGTTCCCAGGCAGCTTCAGGGAGGCCTGCTAGGCTCAAAATGAGGTTGGGGAGGCATGCATTCATGCGCTGGGGGCGAGGGGAGCACGGGCGTCACACATGAATGCGCATGGGGCGGGGTGGACGGGGGCATTGCATTATGGGTGTTGGTACGCGCACGCACACTCACGCACACTTTCGGGGGCCGAGGGAAAAAAGGTTAGCCACCACTGATGTACAACTTACAATTACAGATAGCCTTCAAATTATGACAATTGAGGCCAACATTTCAGTTGCCAAGTGAGCCATTTGTTAAGTGAGTTCCCCCCCCCACTTTACAACCTTTCCTGCCATAGTTGTTACGTGAATCGCTGCCGTTGTTAAGTGACGTGACAGGGTTGTTAAGTGAACCTGGCTTCCCCATCGACTTTGCTTGTCAGAAGGTCGCAAAAGATGACCCCGGGGCACTGCGACTCATCATAAATGAGTCAATCGCCAAGCATCTGGATTTTGATCACGTGACCAAAATTCTGCAATGGTTGTAAGAGTGAAAAAATGGTCATGCCACTTTTTGGAGTCTTGTTGTAGCTTTGAATAGTTGTTAAACAAACGGTTGTTAAGTCGAGGGCTGCAATGGGAAACGATAGTAAACATACGAGCGCATGAAATTCAGCCATTCCCACAAACACGTCTCCTGAAAATACTGTGCTACCTGTTGGTTTGAAAGTGGGCAGGCTTGAAGTTTTGATATTAATCTGTACAACCTTAAACCTGACCAAGCACTGTAATCATCACTACAGGCAATTCTGGTTATGCCAGATTCTACAGGCTTTAAAAAAAAAAAAACCACCAATAATTGGAAATAGCATGCCCCAAAAAGCTTAAATTAACAAGCTGCTTCTGAGGACGACTGCGATGCACAGGGCAGAAGTTTTTATGGCTTCAGAAAGTGATTTTTTTTAAAAAAAACAGTTCTAAAACATCTTGCAATAATGAATTATACAAGGGATTTATCAGATTGTTTTAAATCTCTCTGTACTACATGTTACTTCCAAAGGTTTCAACACTGGTTTTTGTTTGTTCAGAACAGTATATAATTACACCTTTATAGAATAAAAACATCTTCACAATGCTTCAAAGCTGTTTGGCCAACCAAGCAATTTTCAATGAGGTAAAAATCTGCATGTTTTAAAAATGTGCTCAAAAACAGTAATAATAATTGTAGTAGCCAAGGTTGACTCAGCCTTTCGTCCTTCCGAGGTGGGTAAAATGAAGACCCAGATTGTTGGGGGCAAGAGGCTGACTCTGTAAACCGCTTAGAGAGGGCTGTAAAGCACTGTGAAGCAGTATACAAGTCTAAGTGCTATTACTAGCAGGAATCTAAGGAAGAATAACAGCATATACCCATGATGGAGAACATGTGGCACGAGTGCCAGAGGTGGCACACAGAGCCCTCTCTGTGGGCACGCGCGCTGTCGCCACCTGCTCTTCTGGTTGCTCAGCTGGTTTTTGTGGGTGCTGGAGCGCTGGAAAACAAAATGGCTAGAAACGCCCAAAAAGCAGGCTGTTTTTGGAGCTGTTTTCCAGGCCTTTTTTTGAGCCAAAAATAGCTCAGAAAAAGCCCCAAAACCTGCCAAAAAACAGGCATGCGCACGGTGGCCAGTTGGTCTTCGGGCTTCTGGTGCTCTGGCGCTTGCGAAGACCAGCTGGCCGGCGTGTATGCATGTGCTGGACCCAAAGACCAACTGGCTGGGGTATGCACACATGTTCCGGTTTGGGCACGGTGCCGAAAAGGTTCGCCATCACCGGCATATATTTATGAGATTCAAAGCACATCAGTTAAAATTCATTTCAATGAGCTATTATCTTTTTAGAGACTACCAGGGACCAAGGAGCCGAGGTGGCGCAGTGGTTAAATGCAGCACTGCAGGCCACTTCAGCTGACTGCAGTTCTGCAGTTCGGCTGTTCAAATCTCACCGGC